GATGTTTTGCTGCCTCTCACAGCAGCTGGAGTCTGAGAAAAAAATAGTTAAACTCACTGGGCCGACTGCCGGCAACTTTTAAGGTGGAACATTAACTTGCAATGTCACTCAATGCATGAGTTGACGGCGTAAATCATGCAACACACCTCTTTTTCAAGCTCTAATTAATTTCAACCGAAATGTCATATATCCCAATCCTCACTTGGACAAAAAAAAAGCTTGCCTGAGAAGGACTAAATGCACAAACCCGCGATTTTAAATATCCCATGGAGAGAAACTCTCACTGCAGCCTGTTCTATTTTGTTCTGAAATTGTTTTCTTGCAGTCTTGTTCTGTGGATGATAAACTAGGTGCAGACTTCCATCTGTGTCACCGTTGATGAGGAAATACTGTGAGTGCTGGACGGAGCAGTGAGTGACAACAACCCCGCCCACATTTAAGAGGACTGTTTGTGGTGGAAACGCGAAGTAGACCGAGGGTCTAGGCACCATCTACAATCTGAAAGATTACTTTTTGTTCCGAAGGTACCATACCGAAAGTGTTTGGTGGAAATGGGACTTTAAAGTATGATTTGATGCTGTGTTTTTATTTGATCAGTGGAGCTGTGTAATTACTGTACTTTCGTCATTGTGTCAATAAAGTGGGAGAGTTGCTGCCTCAAGCAAAGGAGTTCAACTATTTTGTGGTCTTGTTCATGATTGAGGGTAGAATGGAGTGTGAGATGAATACACAGTTTGGTGCAGCGTCTGTAGTGATGCGGGTGCTGCGCTGGACCATCGTGGTGAAGAGAGCGCTGAGTCAGAAGGCGAATCTTTCGATTTACTGGTCCATCTACGTCCCAACCCTCACCTATGGTCATGAGCTCTGGGTAGTGACCAAAATGAGTTTCCTCTGTGGGGTGGCTGGGCTCAGCCTTAGAGATAGGGTGAGGAGCTCGGGGTAGAGCCGCTGCTCCTTCATGTCGAAAGGGGTCATTCGAGGTGGTTTGGGCATCTGATCAGGATCCTCCTGGGTGCTACCCATTAGAGGTGTTCCAGGCACGTCCCACTGGTAGGAGGCTCTGGGGCAGACCCAGAATAATGCTGGAGGAATTACATATCTCATCTGGCCTGGGAACACCTTGGGGTCCTCCAGGAGGAGCTGGAAAGCCTCACTGGGGAGAGGGACATCTGGGGTGCTTTGCTTGGCCTGCTGCCCCCGAGACCCTGCCCTGGATAAGCGGATGGAAATGGATCGATGGATGAAATCTGCTTTATCTCCCACCTTCTGTTTTCTCAGGGTACTAAACCCACTTTCTAAAACAGGGCCCAGGTGTGAAGTTAATATGACCAATGTTCATACAAGTATTTACATGTTTATATTTACAGTTAATTATTGACGTGTAAATACTTTCAACAGTGACATTAAAACTGTTACAATAATCTGCTGAATCTGCCGCTGTTGTTTTACCTCAGATAAAGTCTTCCCAGCTTCTGATTGGTTTGCCCAGTAGCATGTTCAGGAGGTGTTGTGAAGCTGACAAATGTGTAGAAGAGTAAAATGATGCTGAAGAAAGTTAGCCGTCTCCATGTTGCTGTTACTGCTCAGTAAGAGTCATCCAGCCACCACGTATCTAACTCAAACATTACTCTATGAGTTACTTCTATTCCTCTGTAACTCTGATCAGCTCCTATTAGTGTAGTATACGTTTTTAACAGGGTTACTATTAAATTACGTAGCCTGTTATATTTCAAAAAATAACCTTCCCAGCCATGGTTGTGGGCACTGATTGACACGGTGTTGGCTGACACGGAAAACCATGCATCTCTGGCCCCAGCAGACCACCTGGGAGGAGCTGGATGTTGACACGGGGAGAGCCCCCTGCTGCCATGTGAAAAACTGAGCTCAACAACTGCCACATGCAAATGGTACACATCAAGGGAGACAGACATGATGCTGCTCTGCGGGGTGCACAATTTGCGTGCAGCTGCCACAAGATACAAAATAAACAAACAGAACAAGCTGCAAAAAGGGCACTTATCTAGTCAAAGAGCAAAAGGGCAGGCGCTTGGGCACCACCTGGGGTCTATCTGTGCACATGCATGTTACACATTCTGCCTAATTATGAATGCCTCTTTCTTTAAGCATTTTTGCTTGTAACACTTCACATACCATGAATTCCTCCACCAATGCTTTTTTGTTGTTTGTTGTTCTTGTTTTTGTAGCTGTTGTTCTCGTTGTTTTTTCTTGGTGCTAAACCATTATCTGCAAAGTGACAAAAACACATAAGAAGGTGACACCGGAAAGGAAGCCCTGCGGCTGTAAACTGAGCTGAGCTCCAGTTGGTCCAGCTGCTTAACACATATATATACTTTGCAAATAATGCTCATGTACTTTTACTGGAGTAACATTTTGAGTACATCATGAATTACACAGTTGTATTTCTACTTTAATAATAATAATGATAATAATACAACCTTTTTTTTTTTTTTTTTTAATAGAGCGCTTTTCAAAACAAAGTGCTTTACATGGTTGATCCTAGATTAACATAAAAAAAAATACAATACAAAGAACAATAAAAAATAAAGATAAAATACCATCACTGAAGTAGATAAGCCTGTAGGTTGCACATCAAACAGTTAGAATAATACAAAAATAAAATAATGCAACAACTGATGATAATACCAGATAATGTCAATAAAAATAATCAAATAAGACATATAAAAAAACAGTGTGCTAAAATAAATAATAAATGATAAGAAACTTTTATATAGCATCTTTCAAAACACAGTTACAACATGCTGTACAATAAAACTAAACACAAGAAGAATAAAACATATAGCATGTCATAAAATATCACCTAGAAAAGTTAAAATAAGGAATACCAAAGCTAAAATCAAGATAATAAATGGACATTAAAATCAATAGGCAGACATACAGTCAGGATATGCTTTCCAATAGAGGTATGTTTTTAGGAGAGAATTACAACTTTTATTTTTACAAAATTGTTGTCCACAAAGTGACAGTCATTCTAGTTAAAAGTATAAGTTCCACCGAAGTAATTTGTATATTTTTACCCTTGGTTTTTAGCGCACAAGGTTTTAATAAAATACCACGCGTTGAAAGCGGAAAGGAAAATAATTCACTCCCACTGTCGGAGCGTAACAGTGTGACACCCACCGGAAGTAAACAGCATTCCAACTGCTGCTAGCTTTAGCCGTTTGCGGTTTGCCAACTGGAAGAGCTGTAGGGCGATTTTGTAGTCTCGTGGCGCCGATAATTCCTTATTTCTAATTAAACAACGATGTCTTCAGTCGAGTATTTGAGAGAGTTTGTCATCGAGAGACTAACTGCTGCTGCTGACGAAATATTCGGAGTTTTTAAAAGGACCATCGTCGAGTACGAAGAAGAGATCGACCGTCAGCGCAGACTGTTGGATATCGTCTGGAAGCCTGAAATTAAGTTACACAGCATTGGTGTGTAAAACCTGTTCGTCAAAATACCATCAGAGGAGTGTGATTGATATGATACTAATTGTCTATACACGTGCTTGTTGTATTTATTTGCTCAGACGTCTGTTTCTGTGCCATAGCAGTGACGTTAGCATCCTGTTCCCTTTTGTTCTGTGTCCCTCCAGAGCTCCCACAGCACCATGCCTATAGGGAGGAAATGGCTCTCCCTAGCCAGCAGCTCTGTATTCAGGAGAGCAACTCCAGTCTGGACCAAGAGGACCAGGAGCCTCCACAGGTGAAAGAGGAGCAGGAGGAACCCCGCAGCGCCCAGGAGGAGAAGCAGCTTGTACTGAAGCAGGAGACTGACGCCTTTATGTTGACGCCTACTTATGATGAAAGTGACCACAGTGACGATCATGGTCTGAACTTTATCATTGATGAAACTCAGAATGTGGTGGAGGACAGGCCTCTTAACTACATTTCAGTTAACAGCTCTGTGGTACCAGAACCAACCAGTGAGAGGAGCTGGTTCTTCTCTCACAACTCTCAGAGCCAAGATCAGGACAGAGGCGAGCACGGAGACTTAGGATCGACTAGAATTGCAGGGTCAAAACAACAGAATCAACATTACAAAAGCAACAGTTACTACATTAATATAACTGACCCCACTATCGCAACCATTCACTATAATACCCACACAGGTAAAAAGTCTTTCAAGTGTAACTTGTGTGAGAAAGTTTTTAGGTGCAAGTCAGATCTGAAGAGACACCTGAAAATCCACACAGGTGAGAAGCCATATTCCTGCAACACTTGCGGGAAAAGATTCAACCAGCCGTCAATACTGAAGGCTCACATAAGACTCCACACAGGCGAGAAGCCGTACCTTTGCAACACCTGTGGGGAACGATTCTGTCGATCATCTGATCTGAAGGCTCATATCAGAGTCCACACGGGCGAGAAGCCGCATTTGTGCAAAACATGCGGGAAAGATTTCAGATCAGGCAGTCACCTAAAAGTCCACATGAGAACTCACACAGGTGAGAAGCCGTACACATGCCAAACATGTGGGAGAGCTTTCAGACTTATTGGTCACCTGATTGGCCACATCAGAACCCACACTGGTGAGAAGCCATATTCTTGCAAAACCTGTGGGAAAAATTTCAGACTCAGTGGTACCTTGAAAGACCACATGAGAAGAATGCACTAACCCAATTCTTTGTCTTCGTATTACCGCGTTACTCATATTTCTGCGATCAGTATTTCTTTAAAACAATCATAATCTCCCAAATTTTTTGAAAAGACTTTGTATATAATGCTGAATTCACCCTGATGTCTCAATATGAGCTAATTCTGTTCATCAAGCTGCAGATGGGTGTGACTGACATCCAAAGTAAAAGTTACAGTGAAGAACATTTCTCTCTGAGTGTTAAGTTATAATATGCAGGTGTTTTAATGTTGCAGCTCACCGGCTGGAGGTTAAGTTAAAGTATGATTTGATACTGTATGGTAGTTTGATGCCTCATATTGAGCGGTGGAATGTAACTACATGTACTCAAATACTGTACTTATGTATAACATTGAGTGTGGTGAGGTTAATTTTAAGTTGGATATTCTTAACACATTGTCTTAGGATCCAGCGACGTCAGATTGACGACGTGTTGGCCGTAGGAGGACGGTTAGCTCACCTTATCATGCTTACCCAGTGGGGTTGACGAAGGGACCATAAATATGTTACTGTTTAAAACTGTTTTTTTTTCTCTCAGTATTCTCATGCCAACTTGCCCATACTACATAAAATTATGTTTAAAAATTATGCTAAATTGCTCTAATGTAGCACACTTATTTTGATTGTTAATGTGTTTCTCATTTATTTTGCATAAATATTATTTATAGAAAATAATGGCACCATACATGCAATGTGATCCACAGTTAATTTCAGGATACAAAGACATACATTATCTGTGTAATAACACATCCTGCCTTGACTCTAACGGGAATATGATAAAAAAAAAAACGCAGAGTCAGATCTTTTTTGAACAAAATACAGTTTAACAAATCTTTTTCTTTTATTGATATTTGTGTTACATTTAAAATACAATCTTGTCTCTCTTAGCCCAGCTGAAGTTCAGTGGACACTCCTGAAGGCAACTAACGATTAAGTGTATTTATTGAGCTCTGGCTTTAAGGCATGATATAAACTCATTCTGACTTCTTTTCACTCGAAATGGACAGTGAAGATGCTGTTTACAGTGTAGTGTGGTGTGAAAACAATTATTAAGAGTTACTCTGCTGGATATGATTGTGTTCATTTGTATTGTATATACTTAATGCACTATCGCCGTTATTTCAATAAACTCAGATCTCTTTTACTTACCTTTGTTGTGGCTATTATTAAATGATTTACTTCTGCATTCCTGTTATTCTGAGTGTGGTACTGATGAGATGCCTGGAATCTAATGTTCAATATTGATGTATTCTGGTACTTCAGTAATGTTAGTATTGCAGGAGCAGTTTCAGGGGTACTGACTCTGTACAATTCTGAGTAATAAAGTAATAAAGTCAAATCTATGTATTACTCAGTGCTCATAATCTTGCAGCTTTGGGGTCTTTAACCTTTGTGCTGCACTAAGATAAAAACTTCCGACATATTTACCACAACAAATTGTCAAAGGACTCACACTCACAACTTCTGATCAGTTCCTCCAGTTTTTTTGTTTCATTCCTTTTTATTAAAATGTTTTTATTCATTTTATTTTTTTTAAGTTTTGTGTGCAATGTCAGATTTTAATAAGTCTTAATTTCGTCCTATGACAAAAAAGATGTCATCCCACCCAAAAGTTATGATTTTTTGATCAATTCCTCCAGGGATTTTTGTTTCATTCTTTTCATTAATTTGTTTTTAATTAAGTTAAATCATTATGTAATCGGATATTAACCCTTTCCATGCTCGTTTGTATCATATACCACTAATTTACATTTGTTAAAACAACTCAAATGACCAAAAACTGGCCAAAAAGGGCACAAAGGTTAAAGCAGTGATGGGAGGAGGACATTGGAGAGCAGATATCGGATGAGGTGAGGCGTTACGCTATTCAAGAAATTTATCCATCTTCTATTTTTCTGAGATACATTGTTGTTCAAACAATGACTCCACTGGTCCAGAGCACAGTTGGCTAAGATCAGCTGTGATATTGATCCCACGTGCAACGGGTGTAAACAGTCTTCAGCCACTTGATGTCACATGTTCTGGTCATGTGTGAAAACTATTTCATTTCTGGGATTTAATGTTAAAAACTTTTTCAACAATATTTGGATGGCTGGTTGTCACATCTATGTACATAGCATTATTTGGAGTAACTCCTCTAGATGTTGACTTCAGTAGAGCCCAAGCAGACGTTGTCTCTTTCTGCTCACTTCCGTCCAGAGGGCTCATCCTGTGTAAATGGAAGGACATTTGATCAAGGATGTTATGTATTATTTACAACTGGAGAAAATCTGTTGTTTTATTATATTATCACTGGCACGCTTCTTTGCCACCTGGTAACCACGTTTAACTTTTGTGGCAAATATGGAGGCTGAAAAACTGTAATTTAACACGCTACACTCCCCTACTTATGTCACACAAGCTAATTAATTTGTCGTCATGTTTCCCTTTTATTTATTTATTTTTGTCTTCTCTATCAGATTTCCTATGACTCATCTGGCTTTCTCTGGTTGTTCCTGGGTTGATGGGTGGGTGTGTGGGGTGGTCTTTTTGTCCTTACTGGTTCTGTGTCTGTTTATTAATACTCTGTATATCCTTATTGAATTACTAATAAAAAAAAAATACCTTGTTTAAAGAAAAAAAAGTATAAGACAGTGCCACATTTCCTTGTGGAATCAGCTGAGGTAGATGTATATTTTTACTATTGATTATGAACACACAAGTTTTGAATGAAATGCCAACAGTCTAAAGCAGAAAGAAAAAACAACTCCATAGTCAGGAGTTCTGCTCTGCAGTTCTGCGGCTGTCAGTGACAATCTGGCTGCCAGAGATCCCAAAAGTGGAATCGGAGCTACATGTGGGCAGAGTAAAGAATAAATGGGTAAACTTTATAAATTAATATTACTGCCTTATGGACAGCTGGTACAGGGAGTGGCTTTTAATCCTCACACATGGGTCAAAGATTTCAGCAATTGATGCTACAGGAGCCACATAGGTCAGGGGCTGAATGTCAAGATCAGCAAAAGAACTTTAAACTATTTAAATGTGTACATCTTGGAGCTGTATGCTACATTAATGACAGTTCAGCTTGAACAGGTTCATCCTCATAAAATTTTCATATGTAGCCACTCATTGTCTCAAATCAGAGTATCAGGTCTGGTGCGTCCTAGAGTCATCTGAGCTAGTTTATGAAATCTTTCTCGCACTTAATTGAGTAAGAAGGAGGGGTAGTGACGGGTAGGAGGCATGAAAAGCAATGAAAAGGTGGCGAGGACAGCTGTTCAAAAGAGAGGCATTTAAGTAAAATCATACAATGAAACATCGTCCTCTGTTTTTAATCAACATTTTGAGGTCGAGACAGCTTTTCAGCTAACTTAGCTAGCGTGCTAGCTGTGCTAGCTAATGCTGGCAGCCATAAACAAACAACTATGATTCATTGTTTGTTAATTGTGCTATAATTTAAACAAAGAACACATTTTCTCGCAGTGGCCTCTCTAAAATGAGCAGTGGTTTAAGGTACCATATTCCAGTATAATCAGGGAGTTGATACGCAGATAGCTACTGTAGCTAGTTGAAATGTTGATGACTCCTACTACTGTAAGGTGATTGGCTGAATTTAAAAACTGATAAGCTTTTGCCTGACAGGTGATTGTGAGCCTCTGATATGTCAAGTTGGCCAGAATAAGGGCCTGTTTACACGGTTCCGTATATTTCTGAAAAGGGTATTTATCTTTGCGCATCATTTACACGTAACCGCCGTTTTTCTCAACAAAAACGGACATTTTCAAAAACGGCTTCCAAAGTGTAAGTTTTTAAAAATATCCGTTTCTGTGGAGACATGTAAACAGGATAGACAGAGATTTTGGAAAACAATGACATTGCAACCCAGTTCGCGCATGCCCATTAGGCACCCGGTAACGGGTCCATGTCATTGGTTCGACAGCCCATTGGTTCGACATCCCATTAGTCCGACTGTCCGCGAAGCTGAACGGCTCGCGGCGGGCGTATGGTGCGCCGCGACCGGCTTGAGGCGGAGCAGGCTCATGGCTTATGTGTTTGTCACTATCTTTTTCATTTTAACCCACACCATGATCTTTTCCTGACCCTAACCAAGTGGTTTTTGTGCCTAAACCTAACCAGACCTTAACCACAGGGCATCATGATGATTTCGGAACGGACTTAGGAACAATGAGTTTCATATGTTCGGAACAATGGGATGTCGAACCAATGGGCAGTTCCCCCCGGTAACCACAACAACAATGGCGGATATATGCCGGGTTGTTTATGTTTTGTTAGCACTTTTCGGACTACTAACGAGCTTACAAATGAACTTAGCACTGCTGCAGCAACATCACCGTTTTCGTGTAAACAGGGATATCGTTTTCACAACTGATTGTGTAAACCTGGATTTTTTTCTTATATGGGATAAATAGAAATCCATTTTTATTTGTATCGGTATCTGTGTAAACAAGGCAAAAGAAAAGGACAATTTAATTTGAAGAACGAGCCACTGACGAGCCGATTCTCTCCCGCGGGTCCCGATCTGAAGCGAAGATGACGCAGTAATGGGCTACGTCCGGAAGGTGGCAGCACTGCGAGGTCGGCCAGTTGCCGTAAATTTCCACAGAAGAAGAACTCATTTCCGCTGCCGGAACTTAACAGTGTGACACACAGCGGAAGTAAACAACACAGGGTAGTAGCTGTTAGCCGCAAGATGATATTGCAGTCGTAATGCAGATAATTTCCTTAATTTATAACCGAGCAACAATGCCTTCAGTTGAGTATTTGGGAGAGTTTGTCAACGAGCGACTAACGACTGCTGCTAAAGAAATATTCGGAGTTTTTAAGAGAATCATCGTGGAGTACGAAGAGGAGATCAACCGTCAGCGGAGACTGTTGGATATAATTTGGAAACCTGAAATAAAATTACACAGGATAGGTGCGTAAAACTTTAACGTTAATTTAATGACACAAAACAGAGAAATTCAGTCACATATAATCCCGATTGTTTAAATATAGACTGGCAATAATATGCTATTTGGAAACGAGAAATTAAGCTACATAGGATAGGCGTGTAGCACCTTTTCTTTTAAGTACTCACACAGGACGTGTGAGATCTTAATGGTTCAAATACATACTGGTTGTATTTATTTGATAATATGTGTTTCTCAACCATCACGTTAGTATCCTGATCCTTTTGTTGTGTGTCCCTCCAGAGCTTCCACAGCATCATGTCTGTAAGGAGGAGGAGGTTCTCTCTGACCAGCAGCTCTGTATTCAGGAGATTAGCACCAGTGTGGACCAAGAGGACCCAGAGCCTCCACAGGTTAAAGAGGAGCAGGAGGAACTTTGCACCAGTCAGGAGAGAGAGCAGCTTGCACTGAAGCAGGAGACTGACGCCTTTATGTTGACTCCTACTGACGAGGAAAGTGACCACGGTGAAGATCAGACTCTATATTTTAATCCTGAAAAATATCTGAGTGCAGAACAGACAGGGCTTTCTGCTAACGTGTGTAGCAGTTGGCTGAAAGACAAATCTGACTGTGATAACTGTGAAGAATCCAGACCAAACGGAGACCACAGAATCCTCTTGCACAACTCTCATGTGGCTGAGAGCCATGATCAGAAAAGAGACAAGCATGGAGAGTCGCCTACGAATGTAGGGCTAGAACTACAGAATCAACATCACAAAAGCAACAGTCATTACGGTAATACTCACACAGATAAAAGGTCTTTCAAATGTGGCATGTGTGGTAGAGCTTTTAAGTGCAAGTCAAATCTGAAGAGACACCTGATAATACACACAGATGAGAAGCCATACTCTTGCAACACCTGTGGAAAAAAATTCAATTGTAATAGTGGCTTGGTGGACCACATGAGAATCCACGCAGGTGAGAAGCCGTGTACTTGCAACACATGTGGGAAAGGTTTCAGATCTAACAGTCAGCTCATTCGCCACACGAAAACCCACACAGATGAGAAACCGTATTCTTGTAAAACATGTTGGAAAGATTTCAGAACTAGCACTCACTTGATACGCCACATGCGAATCCACACAAGAGAGAGGCCGTATACCTGCAAAACATGTGGGAAAGATTTTGGTTCCAGCACTTACTTGATTCGCCACACGAGAACACACACAGGTGAGAAGCCATATTCTTGCACCACC